AGATTTATTCTCACAGTAAATGTTAACAGCCTCAACGTATGATCATCCTAGGGAATTGGGGGTCTCCAAGCTGAGATGTGCAAAACATTAGACTGCATCCTGAGGGGAACCAACAGATAAAACATAGACCCTCTTCTTTTATTACTGGTAGTTCCACATCTAAGCCAAGTATATTATGACTCACCTCCACAGAATGTAATCTGACCTGCCTAAACGTGTAGTTACCATATCTAAGGAAGAATATTTATATTCATCGAGGCCTGTTTACCTAGACCCTGAACATTGCCTAACAGTCTTACTGAGTTTCTGAACTGAGTTTGCTCTTCTGCTGGCCACAGTAGATTTCACACTTTCCCCACTTTCCTCAGGCCTCTGATCACTCACTTTTACCCACCTCACTCTACACAGATAACCAACAGAATCCATGTGAAGGGAATTGCTACAGTTTCCACCAGTCTCTACACTTCCTTGTATCTACATCCATCTGTTCTGCCTTCCATGTTAACTGCAATAGAGGAGGTGGCCTTTTTCTAAAGCTAATCTCTTCACCTGTCTTTTGGATTCCATTCCTTATCTATCATCTCTCTTTACTTTTAACTGGTTCCTTCTCATCAACATTAAACCCAGCTCAATTCTCTCCCATTTAGTGGAAAAAAAAAAAAAAGCAACCAACCCCTGCCTTCAGGTTGTATATGCAAAGCCAGCTCATTCTTCACGAGGTAATGCTCAATGTTTAGTCATTTTAAAAAATTAATTTTGTATCAGTTTTTTGCTTTTTCTTTAAGTTATATAATGTCAACTTAAGGAAGCAAACTATTGTAATTGTTTTTAAATTAAATTAACAAGAATTCTTGCGAGGCGCGGGAGCAACACCGAGGGTTGCGATCCCGTTGCCGGTCCCCGGTCCGGTACGGGGGCAACACTGAGGGTTGCGATCCGTTGCCGGACAAGGAAAAAGACAAAAAACAAAAAAAAAAAAAAAAAAAAAAAGAATTCTTGCTCAAGGCCACATAGCTCGTAAGTAGAG